TCCACGAGCGTGTGTGCAAATAAGATGAAAAGCTAGAACTCAGTAGGAAACCGGCCTTGCCTTGAAAATCAGGAGGCAGTACCCTCTTGGGTCATTAGTCGTATAAGCCAAATTTTATGTTAATCTAAATTGTTAGAGCGTTCAACAATCTTCTTCAGCAGCGACCAAGCTAATTTCTAATTCTAAGGGATTTGTTGTTCTATGCACTTATTTACTTCTAGGAGCAGGCTTAACATGTTCTGTTTGACAATGTTACTTTCGCATTATTAACTGCGGATTTTTGTAATTTTCAGTTTCGAAAATTCAATATCCTCTTGTGTTGGGAAAGAGCGAGTTGGAATGCTTTCCATTGGTCTGTAGAATTATCTTCGGAAATTCGTAAAAGAACGATGTTTGCAGGATCGACTCCAGTTCATGCGCGTATGTGTAAACACTCAGCAGAATACGTCAACAAGCTATGAAAGCAAAGCAAGTTTCATACAGATTTCTTTACGCGCACATCATCTCCTCATTCATGTTCATCGTAGGTGAGAATGATCCTCATTTTGAAAGACTTTCTTTCAGTGGAAATCTAGGGCACTATTTCGGATACGGGGCCTGCACTTTGCTCATCATACTTCATCAAAAAGTGATTGACGTGCTAAATATGATCTCATCAGTTGCGCTTCTTAAGATCTTAGAAAGATTTACGGCAGGTAGGTGGAGTGGGTTAAAATCACAGAATTGCCTGGAAACCAGTATAGTGGGATTATTTGACTACTGATCACAACATATCATTGCACAATAAGGTCTTATTGTAGGATAGGTGGGCAATTGTCTCAGTTCATCTAATAGTATGACACGTTAATCACGAATAAGCAGTGTTACAATAATGGTTGGGATATTTTCATAGTTATAACATGTGCAAGAACTTTCTGCTGGTTGGGGCTAAGTAATGGGAGGTTAACAACAATCGTCAGCTCTGAAAGCAGAAATGCTGCTGCAAATTGAATATAATATTCATGAGTGAAATAGTAAATAGCTCTCCGGTGACGTATAGGCGAAACTGTAATTTCGACCTACGTCCCACCGTAACCCTAAAGAGGACTTTATAATGCGAAATGGATAAGATTTTTGCAACCAGCGTGTCAAATAACCCCAACAGACCTCTTTTAGGCAATGTGATTTTGCTTCATTCCTCTGCCTTAAACCTATGATATTACCTTAACGAGAGAAATAGATACGATTTCTATGATTAGCACGTGAATTTTTGGAACGTGCAGTAACGACCCGAATTTCCTTTTGTGTCCCGAGTGTCATGGGTTAGAACCAATTTTCTTTTCTTTTTAACAATTATCATGGCTAATCACCAGCACATTACAGGAGAGAAGGCAAGAGTACGAAAATGATTTCACAAATAAGTAGAAATAACGCGAAGTGATTAATGTAACGCAATTTATTGAGTACGATTATACGACTTATTCATATGAATATTCTACTTAGAAACCGATATGTTGTCGTTCTGCGTATTCACATAATTCGTACATAAAATAAGCTTTCATGCCTAATTGGAACCTTACGACAACGCCTTCCGAAACAGGTCTTTGAAATGTTGTTTCAAACCCTAATTCAGCCAAGTTAATTGGGAAGCCGTCCTTGTTAATGACATTCCCAAAACACTTATTTTGAAAAGTTCAT